GTATAAATGGGATGCTGAATTTTGTCACATGCTTTTTCTGCATCTATTGAGATGATCATGTGATTTGTGTTTTTAATTCTGTTTTTGTGGCGTGTCACATTTATTGACTTGTGTCTATTAAACCGTCTATACATCCCCAGTATAAAACCCACTTGATCATGGTGGATTATCTTTTTGATATGCTGTTGGATTTAGTTAGGTAGTATTTTGTTGAAGACTTTTGTATCTATGTTCATCAGGAATATTGGTCTGTAGTTTTCTTTTTTTGTTATGTCCTTTCCTGGTTTTGATATTAGGGTGATACTGGTTTCATAGTATGATTTAGGGCGGGTTTCCTCTTTATCTTTTGAAATAGTGTCAGTAGGATGGATACTAATTCTCCTTTGAATGTCTGATAGACTCCACCTGTGAATCTGTCTGGTCCTGAACTTTTTTTTGTTGGTAACTTTTTAATAACCATTTTAATCTTGCTGCACATTATTGGTCTGTTCAGACTTCTATTTCTTCATGGTTTAATATAGGAGGGTGGTATGTTTCCAGGAATTTATCCATCTCTTCTAGGTTTTCTAGTTTATGCAACTGAAGGTTTTCACAGTAGCCTTGAATGATCTTTTGTATTTCTGTGGTATCAGTTGTAATCTCTCCTGTTTCATTTCTAATTGAGCTTATTAGGATCTTCTATCTTCTTTTCTTAGTCAATCTCACTAATCATTTGTCAATTTTATTAATCTTTTCAAAGAACATGCTTTTTGTTTCCTTTATTTTTTGTATTTTTTCATTTTGACTTTATTTAATTCTGCTCTGATCTTGGTTATTTATCTTCTTCTGCTGGGTTGGGGTTTGGTTTATTTTTGTTTCTCTTGCTCCTTGAGATGTGACCTTAGATTGCCTATTTATGCACTTTCAGACTTTTTGATGTAGGCATTTAATGCTGTCAACTTTCTTCTTAGCACTGCTTTTACTGTATTCCAGAAGCTTTGCTAGGTTGTGTTACTATTATTGTTCAGTTCAAAGAGTTTTTTAATTTCAATCTTGATTTCATTGCTGACCCAGTGATTTTTCAGGAGCAAGTTATTTAATTTCCATGTATTTGCACGGTTTTAAGGGTTCCTTTTGGAGGTGAATTTCAATTTTATTCCACTGTGGGCTGACAGCGCACTTGATATAATTTCAATTTTCTTAAATTTGTTGAGACTTGTTTTGGGCCTATCATGTAGTCTATCTTGAAGAATGTTCCATGTGCTGATGAATAGAATGTATATTCTGCAGTTATTGGGTAGAATGTTCTGTAAATATCTGTTAAGTCCATTTGTTCTAGGGTATAGTTTAAGTCCATTGTTTCTTTGTTGACTTTCTGTCTTGATGAACTGTCTAGTGCTGTCAGTGGAGTTCTGAAGTCCCCTACTATGATTCTGTTGCCATCTATCTCATTTCTTAGGTCTAGTAGTCATTGTTTTATAAATTTGGGAGCTCCAGTGTTAGATGCATATATATTTAGGATTGTGGTATTTTCCTGTTGCACTAGTTCTTTTATCATTATATATGTCCCTCTTTGTCCTTTTTTAACTGTTAAAGTCTGTTTTGTCTGATATAAGAATAGCTCCTGCTGCTCACTTTGGTGTCTATTTGCATGAAATATCTTTTTTCACCCCTTTGCCCTAAGTTTATATGAGTCCTTATGGTGAATTCTTATCCATTCTGCCATTCTGTATCTTTTAAGTGGAGCATCTAGGCCATTTAAGTGGAGCATGCAGGCCAACACTACATTCATGTTAGTATTGAGATGTGAGGTACTATTCTATTCATTGTGCTATTTGTTACCTGAATGCCTTGTGTGTGTGTGTGTGTGTTTTTTTTTCCATTGTCTTTTTTTTTAAATAGGTTCTGTGAGATTTATGCCTTAAGGACATTCTATTTTTGTGTACTTTGAGGATTTGTTTCAAGATTTAGAGCTCATTTTAGCATTCCTTGTAGTGCTGGCTTAGTAGTGGCAAATTCTCTCAGCATTTGTTTGTCTGAAAAAGACTGTATCTTTCCTTCATTTATGAAGCCTAGCTTTGCTGGATACAAAATTCTTGGCTGATAATTGTTTTGTTTAAGGAGAGTAGATATAGGACCCAAATCCCTTCCTGCTTATAGGGTTTCTGCTGTGAAATCTGCTGTTAATCTGATAGGTTTTCTTTTATAGGTTACCTGATGCTTTTGCCTCACAGCTCTTAAGATTCTTTAGTTTGTCTTTACTTTAGATAATGTGATGACTATGTGCCAAGGTAATGATCTTTTTGTGATGAATTTCCCAGGTGTTATTCGAGCTTCTTGTATTTGGATGTCTACGTCTGTAGCAGGGCTGGGAAAATTTTCCTCAATATTCTCTCTAATACATTTTCTAAACTTTTCGGTTTGTCTTCTTCCTTGGGAACACCAATTATTCTTAGGTTTTGTCATTTAAACATAATCCCAAACTTCTTGGAGGCTTTCTTGATTTTTTAAATTCTTTTTTCTTTGTTCAATTGGGTTAATTCGAAAGCCTTGTCTTCAAGCTCTGAAGCTCTTTCTTCTACTTGTTCAATTCTATTGCTGAGACATTCCAATGCATTTTGCATTTCTCTAAGTGTGTCCTTCATTTACAAAGGTGAATTTTTTAAATTTATGCTATCATTTCACTGGAGATTTTTCCATTCATATTCTGTATCTTTTGTTTATTATTATTTTATAAAGTTGGACTTCACCTTTCTCTGGTGCCTCTTTGATTAGCTTAATAGTAGGCCTGAATTCTTTTTCTGGCAAATCAGAGATTTTGTCTTGGTTTGGATCCATTGCTGGTGAGCTAGTATGTTCTTTTGGGGGTGCTAAAGAAACTTGCTTTGTCATGTTATCAGCATTTTTTCTGGTTCCTTCTCATATGGGTAGACTATGTCAGCGGAAAGATCTGGGACTCAAGGGCTGCTGTTCAGATTCTTTTGTCCCATGGAGTGCTCCCTTTACGTGGTGCTCTCCCCTTACCCCCAGGATGGAGCTTCCTGAGAGCTGAAATGCAATGAGTGTTATTTCTCTTCTGGATCTAGCTACCCAGCAGAGCTTACCAGGCTCTGGGCTGGTACCGGGGTATTTGCACAGAGTCCTGTGATGTGAATCATTTTGAGGTCTCTCAGCTGTGGATAGCAGAACTTGCTCCAGTGGAGGTAGCAGGGGAGTGAAGTAAACTCTGTGAGGGTCCTTGGTTGTATTTTTGTTAAGTGCACTGGTTTTCTGTTAATTGGCCTCTAGCCAGGCGGTGGCACTTTCAAGAGGGCATCAGCTGCAGTAGGATAGGAAGATGCAAGATTGCCCTAGGGTCAGGTAGTGGGCAGGGCCATAGAACTCCCAAGGGATTATGTCCTTTGTTTTTAGCTACCAGGGCAGGTAGAGAAAGACCACCAAGTGAGGGAAGGGTTAGGCATGTCTGAGCTCAGCCTTTCCTTGGGCCAGGCTTGCTGCAGCTGCTGTGGGGGATGGGGATGTGGTTCCCAGGAAAATGGATTTCTGTTCCCAGGGGATTATATCTGTCTCTGCTGTGTCACACAGGTTGCCAGGGCAATGGAGGAAAGCCAGCAGCCACAGGCCTCACCCAGCTTCCACACAGCCCACAGCCGGAAAGGCCACTCTCATTCCTACTTTGCCTTCCACCCCCAACAGCACAGAGTTTATTTCCAGGCAACTGGTGAGCAGGGCTGAGAACTTGCCCCAGGCTACAAGCCTCCCAGATGAGAAAGCAAGCAGACTCACAGCTCCCTGACTGTCCCATGGAGCCCACAGTGCAATCCACCTCCTTTAAAGTGTCTGTGGATTCTCATTCTCTTGGCTTTCCTGGTATGTTTCTGCAGTAGTTCTTGGAGCGAAAGTTAACAATGTGAGTTTCCACGTGCTACCCTGTCCATCCGAATAGGAGCTGCAAATTAGTCTTGCCTCCTATCTGCCATTTTTCTATGAGTCTCCACCAGGTTTCCATGTTTCTAAGAAAATAACATGGAAAGAAACTGTTTCTCCTCTTCTCTGGGGCGCTTTGAATCTGGGTGAGTTGCTGGGAACTGCAGCTCCCCTGCCTCTGGACATCAGGCTATGTGAGAAAATGTATTTCCTCATTGCTTAAGAAGCCGGTGAGAGACTGGCTCTGCTGTCATTTGCTGTGCCCTGACCAATGCACTCACTCCAAGCTCTTTACGAGATGGAATAGGCTACGTCCTGGAGATCTCTCCCAGTCAACTGCCATCAGAGTGAGGCTTTCTTTCCCCTTTCATCTAAGTAACATTTATTGATCATCTATTATGAACAAGGCACTTTGAAGATACCCAGTTATGTAAGGTACCAATTTGTACCCTCAAATAACAAAATATATTTAGTCAAATAACAAAATATAAAAACATATGCAAATAAAACCAGTTAGAAAGTGCTACATATTATAAAAATATACCAACAAATGAATATGCAAATATAGGACAGGGAGAAATTATTTTTAATATGTTGTTGGCATAAAAATCACAAGATACTATGGCACATATCTGAGAGTGTAATTTTTTTCCCTCTGCTCTTTATTATAAAAACTACTAAATAAAGAAAATTCAAGCTCAGAACTGTCTACTATCCCATCGTCTTTCATTTGTCCATTTCCCTTCAGTGTTGAGAAGCTGTGCTTCTTGACAGTAGTACTTAGTATTGGTGTATTTATATTTATGGACCATCTATTTGTTTTTACTTAATGCCGTGTATATTTTCCATTTTGCTACAGTGCTTTTCCCCCATGTCTCCTTTCCCTCTTTGTTCCCACTGTTAGCCCCTGTGGTAGCTGTGACAAGTCTGGCACGTATCCTTCTAGATCATTCTCTGTGTTGTCTTACTAACATGCACAGATATGTAGGTTTTGTTTTTCTACAAGTGGGTCATACCATGTGAATTTCTCTGTAGCTACTTTTCTTTCTTAATGACAGGGTGAAAGCTCTCTTTATTTTTAACCTCTATTACAGAGAGTTGCTGAATTCCCAAGTGCTCTCCATTCCTCTGATGCTCCTGGACAGCCAAGGTGCTGACAAGCTTTGGCCAGTAGGCTGCTTTCTGGTATGTTTGCATCCTTCTGCTCCTGCCAGGTGACTTCTGGGCTCATCAGAGTCAGCTTGTATTGGTCCGTAAACCTGTTTATACCACTGTATTTGTAACTGTAATTCTTTACTTTCATCAAATACTTTACAAATCATTGCAATTAGAGCAGAAAAGGAAGACCATCATATTTCTATGAAAATCAAGTTAAATGCACAAGAAAGATTTGCTCAATGTAGCTTTCTAAAAACATTTGCTACTCAGATGACAATAAAGATCTGGGGTATGTCATCTACCTTTTGCTGTATAACAAACCACCCCAAAACACAGTGGCTTGGAACAATAATGGTCTATTATCTCTCATGATTTCATGGACTGCTGCTTTTGCCTGGACTCTCTCACAGGGCTGCTTTCAGCTGGAGTCGACTGGGCTGGAAAGTCCGAAATGACCTTCTCCATCTGTCTGGCAGTTGGTGCTGGCCGTCCACTGAGCCCTCACATTGCCTTTTATCCTGAACTAAATGGGCTTCCTCACATGGTGGCCTCAGGGCATCAATCCAATAGGGCTCAAACCAGAAAGGGGCAAGGTCTCTTAAGCTTTAACCTAACATCACTTTCTGTTGGTCAAAGCAAGTCACAAGGTCATCCTCACTTCAAGGGATGGGGAATAGACTTCACTTCTTGATAGGAGGAGCAGCAACACCACATTACAGAAGCTTATGCCTGCTGGCATGGGAGGAAGTTGTGGCAATATTTCGCAAATTAACACAAGGGGGGATATCATAAAAACCTAGTGGTGTTCTATACTCAGATTGCTTTACCACTGCCTTTAAGTTCTTACTCCACTTTAAAAACAGAACTGAAAATTATAGATTACGTATTACAGAAATGGTTTATGCAAGAAAAGTAGCATGGAATTCCACTTAGCAGACAAGGTCCAGTAAAGAGACTTGGGCCTTACATCCAAAGAATGGCAAAGAATTCAGAGGTTTTAAGCTTTCAGGCAATGTGTCTTTTTTATGACTTTTAATTGACTCTTATCCCTATTATGCTGAAAAAGAGAACTTCCATGGTGTACCAGACTTATTCTTATACGCCAGTGGCTAGAGAGACTTCTCTCTCAGCCTTTTTAATAGCTCCATGGAATTCCAAGATATGAATATGCCACATTTTATTTAACCCATCCCTTGCCAGCAGATCTTCAGATGGTTTCATTTTTATCCTCCCACAATGAACAATGCTACAGTAAATATCAGCTTAAGTATAATATAAGCTTTTGATACTAGTACTTTTTGTTTTTGTTTTTAGTATCTATAGGCTTGAGCTCCAAAGGTGGAATTTCTGGGCTGCCTTGGGAGCTCAAGCCTATAGGTAGCTTGAGAGCAATGGCTCACACCTGTAATCCTAACACTTTGGGAGGCCAAGATGGATAGATCACTTGAGGTCAGGAGTTCAA